TGTGGTATTGAAGTTTATTAACATCATTTACTGCTGTTTATATTTAATGTTTTGCTGTGGTTCACAATTGTTTAAGTTCTTGATAAGCGGCTTGCTTAGCTCCCACAGTAGGCGCCTTCACGACCCCGATGGTGGAAAATTCGGATCGTGACAACTGCATAGCAAGTTTTCTGCGGATTATTGTTCAGATTCTCTGTTACATCCAGTAGATGTATTTGAACAAATGAGGCAGATCAGGTAGTCTATTCAATTATTTTTTTTTTTTACATATAATGTTAGCTATCTTTCTTTTATTTCTTTTTATTGGTGATTAGTACAAGTGTTTGCAATCTTGTGATATATCGAGCAATTCTTGCAGCATATTATGTCGTCACAGAACATTGAGCTTACTTCTTTATATATATTCTTTCTTTGCCTTCAACACAGGTAGAATATTCTCCACTTTTCTTCGGGACAAATACAACAAAGATAGATTAAAGACTCTTCGTGCCTAATCCTACATGATAAAATTGATTAGATCCCACAAGTGGGCTCTGGGGAGAGTTGTGTATATGCAGACCTTACCCCTACTCCGGAGGAGTAGAGAGGCTATTTTCGATCGATGGAATTGTTAGAACCTCTTTAAATTTTTAGGGAGGGTCTTTGCTATTGCTGTGGATCTTGTGTCCCTATCCAATGGTGTGTATGGGTTGCACTCCCAGTTATTTATTTGATATGCCGTATAGATGCTAAAATGCATAGAGTAAAAGAGTTTTAAAACTTTGATAACATTAATTTTTCCTCACATAATTTGCTTATTGTCAGATCTGAAGAATTGCTTCAAGTCGTTAGGAGGGAACAGGTTCTCCATAATATCACTAAATGCATGTATATCAAAAGAGTGTTACCAAATACAAAAATCGGATGGAACTTAAATAGCTTGCAAACTAGGCTTTGTTCAAAGCATAAATTAAATGTAGAAAAGCTACTGACCTCAACAACTTCTAGGATATTCCTTAATAATCACAAAAGAAATTCTAGGACATGCTTTCACTTTCAAGATTTGCTTCCTGTTTTTATTGTGAACCGCAATCAAGGTTTACTTCCCATTTTTATCGTAGAATGCAATAATTTATTTGGTGTCCAGCCCTTCAATCTACTGTCGAATTTATAAGTTGCCTGTATGACTGTTGAATGGAATCAATTCTTCGCTTAATAGATCACTGTGCTTTGGATCCTATTATCAGGGCGAAGAGGTGACACTTGACTACAATTATGTCCGAGTATTCGGGGCTGCAGTTAAAAAGTGTGTCTGTGGCTCACCTCATTGTCGGGGCTATATAGGTGGTGACCCACTAAATGCAGAAGTGATTGTTCAGGATGATTCAGATGGTGAGTATGCTGAACCTGTCATGCTGTATGGGGATGCTGACATGAATCATAAGAAGACAACAGTATATGTGCTACAAGTGCTATTAATGTTGCTGAAATTAAAATTCAAGGGAAACCACCTAAAAACAAAAATATAGTGGATGAATCTTTTGCTGGAAATCAGGATACCTCACATCAAACACATACGAACAGTATCGTGGGTCTAGAAAATGTTGATTTGGGTAACTCCGTTGCTGTTGTTAGCTTTAATGCTAGAGAGGAAAGCGAAAACTTCCCTAATGGGTCTCCTGCATCATCTTTAAATGCCGAAACATTTGTGGCATTAGAAGCCTTAGAGTGTATGTCTCATTTATCTGTTCAACCTGTAGAGACTTCTTTGTCATTGAAGGATACATGTGAAACCATGTCTGGAGTGCTCAGTAGCTAGCGAAGTATCAAAGAACTCTTTCTCTTCCACACAAGAATTTGAGGTAACTTCTCTTGATGCAGTGGTTAGCAAGTCTTTAAGAAAGTCAAAATCCAGCAATGGGAGAGAGACACATGATCCCTTAAAACCCTGTCCTTTCGTGAAAACTTCGCGTGAATCAACTTTAGTGAAGACGGTGAAATAGAGGAATAATGCTGTGAATTCCAGACCCCTGCCTGATGTGGAAAGCATGTTGCAAGTTTCACAATCTAAATTCAAGAAACCACCGGATGGCTCCTTACATGGCCATTTTGAAGCAGGTATGTCACTGTTATCCTTTTGTGGAATCTGCAGATTGTGGAGTACTTTTGCATTATCTTTTTAACCTGAATATGCAGTAGAAGAGAAACTGAATGAGTTGCTGGATCATAATGGTGGAATAAGCAAACGCAAGGTGAGTAGTTAAAAGCTACAAGATATAATCTGCATTTATTTCTTTTATTTCTTGCTTGGTGATTTGTGATATGTTCATTGTGCCGGTTTGTGGGAATGCTCCCCTCTTTTCTACCTTTTTTCTACTGCACTTTGGTGCAGCCACTTTGGTGTTAATTCATCAAAAGGGAATTGGCCAAAACGTTGGTGAAAGGGAGGGCAGGGAGTCCATACTGTGGGTGGTAGTACGGGTTCATTGCTGGGCAGTGGGCACATAATGTAGCCCCGGCTTAGTAAGGTTTCCATTTGCATTTTCATGGTCCTATTTTGATCTCCTGAAGCATTTCTAGTTTCATAACTTAGCCTTGACTATAGTAACCTCTCCATTTAGATTAATCATTCTACTATAATATTCTGAAGCATTCCTCATTTTTAAGCTTCTGCCATATGTGTAAATGCGTGCATGCTTATTCCACGACACTCTACATTTTTCTTTCAGTTATAGTTTTCTCTTTTCTTGGAGCAGGATGCGTCAAGGTGCTACTTGAAACTCCTCCTTTTAACTGCTGCTTCAGGGGATGGCTATAATGGTGAAGCTATCCAGAGGTAACAAATGGCTAGCCTCTTTGACTCTTTGTAGTGCATTTCATGACATCCACAGTAATGATAATACCACAATACAGTAAAGGTAATAAAACAATGATAAAAATAGCCATAACTAAACCATCTAGTCTGAGTCTTATCTCCTCCATTTGAAATAGTGTTTTGAGTTGGTAAATCCATTCCCATCACTCTACAAAGGAGTTCAATCGAAGGTCGATCTCAACGTCTTGTTTTCAGTAAAGTTGCTGAATAGAATTGGACTACCCCTTCCTTTCCCTTCAAGTTCCCAACCATAGATTAGCAATTTTCAATTTCAATTATATCTTCCGTGGACTTTGGCCATTCCGTGAAAGAAGGATCCTTTTGTTTGTTATAGCAGAACATGGCATCAGATATGCTTCTAACTAAAAACTTCTACATAGTGTCTGTTGTATCTATCAGTGGCCGTTGTTGTTGATATTTCTATGGTTTCTTTTCATTTTTCTTGAGCTGAGGATTTATCGAAAACAACTTCTCTACCTTCTCAGGTTAAGGATAAGGTCGCGTACATACTACCCTTCCCAAACTCTGTGCCCCTCTTTTCCTCCTTTTCTATGCTCCAACAACTCTTATTCGAAGATAGAGACGTTGAGATTTATCAACACTTACTCTATGCTTATGTCCAAAAGTGACTACCTAAATGTTGTCTATCTGATAAGGGCCTTTGATATTTTGAGGGAGATCATTGCTGGTCATTTTTACATGATCTAGCTTATTAATACTCCAATTAGTCAATGCATCCACACCTGATTTTCTTCTCTAAAGCAGTGTTGGATTATGTAGTTAACCAGCTTAGTATAATTCTTGATTTCTTCTATAATATCCTTCAAGTGACATGGTGGTCTACGAACTTATTTCAGCATATTAATGATCTACAGAGTCCTTCACTAACATAATATAGAACTCCCCTTTATTCCAATTAAGATTGCCTTTGCTTCAGCCATGTTGCTACTGCAGTTCCCCAGTGAAGAGGCAAAGGCCATGATCATGGAGCCATTTTTATTTCTGATATGCCTTTCTTCCCATCTAACACCCAGTGGCACACCAAAAGATTTCCATAAAGAAACAACCACCTCACCTCTCATGGTTGAAGTTATCTGTATTATCAATACTTCTGCAACCTAACTAATGTACCTCACTTCAATTATTTTTTTCCATTTTGGTTATGTAATACAGTAACTTGTGAAGTCCTGAATAACCAATAATTCAATCCTGAGTGTTACTTTCTTGTTAAAGATAATTAGTTTCTTCTAAGGTTCTTCCTATACATGATCGTGCAATAGGAGAGGGAACAGTAATACTTTTTTGTATTGTATCATTTGCTCCCAATGTTGTGGCTATTATACTATTAGCGAGCATTTGTAATACGTCTCATGATATGCTTAATGTTGGATTTAGTAATGTAGTTGTAAGAAGCAATGATTGTTCATATTATTTTGAGATGCTTTTCGCTTCGTGGTTTTACATTTTACTGTGTGCTAGCAATTTACCAATATTAAATCTTATTTTCTTACTCAACTAATATAAACTATTTTTAACAGATAAATGGCCTGAAGTTTGAAGAATCTTCCCATCAGCATAGTTCCAAACAAGTTGAAACAACTAGAATTGTTGAAGAACAAGTGAAATCTATGTTGTTTTATTAGGAGTTGTAGCCGTCATCTGTACAAACTACTATTTTACTTTCTCTTTAATTTTTTGTTTTCTTTAAATAATTGAATGCAAGGATCCTGCAATTTGGATGTAATATTATTGCTACTTCGATTAGTTCTCCATAATTATAAAAGATATTTTATGTCAATATTGACTTCATTCTTTGTATGATTTCGAATGCGTGTAATATATTTATTCCTTAAAATTTCACATTAGCGTAGGGAAATTTCGGGTTTTAAAAAGTATGTCGTTGAAAGTGCATAAAATTAATGAATAGAACTCCGGTAGCCAAACACTAACAACGACTGAAAATTGGTTACTGTTAGTGATGTTTTTAATGACTGGGACAACATATAACGATGGAAAAATCCCCTCGCTAATCTTGGTATAACGGCTGGATTCCTTACCATCATTAAGAGGTTTTTACGACGGGATCAAAATCCGATCGTTTACCTTTAACGACGGAGGCACTAACGACCGGCGACGATCGGTTTTTATCCCATCGTAAGTGATTTATAACGACCAGATTTGGAGTTTTAACGACCGAATTTCCCATCGCTAGAGACCTATTTTCCTCTAGTGAAATTCGTAAATCAACTCTAACTTAAAATGTTTCCACTTATAATATAGTATAATATATATATATATATATATATACACACATATAAATATACACACACACACATACATATCGAATATAACTTATAATTATCAATGTATAAGCTAATAAATCACCAGCGTTACTTCAGGATAACACTAATATTACTTAATGATACCACTAATAAACCTCTGCTTGCTTTAATTATCAATCTAAAGATAAAAAGTCATAAATATTTCTCACAATATCATTAATACACTTCCGTTTTGTAACGACCTGAATCGTCGTTTCCTATATTTATGCCCCGTAACCCCCGTTATATGTTTGCTCATGTGTCAATATATGTATTTGGAGAATTTGAGTTAATTCGGATCGAATTTGATAAGAAATGAGACAATTAGTCTCCTTAATGAAGAGTGAGTTTGGAAAAGTCAACCCAACGTTGACTTTTGAGTTAGAGGGCTCGGAACGGATTTTCGATGGCTCGACTAGTTCCGGGGGATGATTTGTGACTTAGGAGTGAAAACGGAAGTGAATTCGGAGGTCCGGTGTGAAAGTTAGCTAAGATTGGCGAAACTAGTATTTCAGAGAAATCCGGTTGATAGGTGAAAATTTGATCCGGGGGTCGGAATGAAATTCCGACAATGGCATTAGCTCCGTTAGGTGATTTTGGACTTGCGTGCAAATTTTCAGATTATTCGGAGGTGTTTAGGCCGGGTTTTTGATTGGATGAGAGTTTGAGAAATTTTAGTTTTCTTAAAGTTTGATTTGATGAAAAATGGGCGATTTTGATGTTAACATAGGTGTTTTTATGATTTGAGCAAGTTTGGACGAGGTATTAGGACATATCTGTGTTTTTGGTTGAGGTCCCGAGGGCCTCGGGATGATTTCGGATGCCCAACGGGCATGTTTGGAGTTGAAAACTGCTGCTGAATTGCAGCAGTTATTGCAGAGGGAATTAATGAATCGCGATCGCGTGGCTTGGCCTGCGATCGCGTAGAGGAGTTGGAGGAGTCAGTGTTTTTGTTCAACGCGATCGCGTGAGAAGGTTTGCGATCGCGTAGGGTCTGATGCTGAGGTCCTGCGATCGCGTGGGGCGTGTCTGCNCGCGATCGCGTGGCTTGGCCTGCGATCGCGTAGAGGAGTTGGAGGAGTCAGTGTTTTTGTTCAACGCGATCGCGTGAGAAGGTTTGCGATCGCGTAGGGTCTGATACTGAGGTCCTGCGATCGCGTGGGGCGTGTCTGTGATCGCGTGGTGATGGGCTCGTGTTCTCTGCGATCACGTGTTAACTTCTGCGATCGCGTAGGAGGCAGCGGAGGCCTGGGAAGTTTGCCTTTCGCGATCGCGTGCCAATGGCTACGATCGCGTAGAAGGTCGGGCCTGGGCAGAATGGTTTTAACTCATTGTTTTGTCCGCGAAGCTCATTTATTTTCCTCCATTATTGAGATACTTTGAGAGCTAGAAGACGAGTTTTGAAGAGGAAATCATCGGGGTGTGTTTGGAGGTAAGTCCTATGCTTATATTACGTCATTTTATCGAGGAATCGCCCTTTAAATTTCTGAAAAATTGGTAGAAATGTCAAGAACCAGGGCTTGAGAATATTTATGAAAAATGTGGATTTGAGGGGTCAAATGGACTCCGATTTGGATGAAATTTATATGTATAGACTCGTGGCGAGATAAGGGTCGTTAGGACGTAAAAATTTCTGGATTTCGAGACGTGGGCCCGGGGCTCGGGTTTTGTGAATTTCGTGAATTTCGGCATTTTTCGAGTCTTTTCGATTGGGTTATATCCCATTAGCCTAATGCAATGTATATAATATGATTTTGACCAGATTCTACGTGCGAAGAGGCGAGTTAAAAAGGCAAAGGCATAGCGGAGTGAATTTTTGACCATATCGAGGTGAGTAATATTATTAAATGATGCACTGAGGGTTTGAAACCCTAGAAATGTACATCATAATGCTATATTGAGGTGACTTGCATGCTGGATATGAGCGTGGGGTAGAGCACCGTTGGGGATTGAGACTTGGTCCATCCCGGATATTGATTTTACCGCATATTTGTTAAAGAATTACTGTTTTATACCATGATTTGGGCTTATTGCCATACTTGGGCTTCATGCCAATGATTTGAAATAT